ATAGATTGTTGCTTCATACACAACCACTACTGGGGAAACAAAAACCAGCCTTTTGTTGACATCAGGATGGTGAGTTATTTTCCGTTTTGTATAAACAATTGAAAAGTGTTTGCCAACTAATGTATCGACTCCTTATAAGCAAGTTTTTTTGCTCTTAGACCTAATCAAATATTTCTAAATGAGTATTATTTCTGTGGTTTTTTGAACAGGTGGGGCCTAGCTCGTCACTTCCATTATGTTCCAGAAATCATGGGGGCCTTTTTCTGGACCGTGCCAGCTCTGTTTAACCATGTAAGCTGTTATAACAATGTTTTAGTTTTAGTTTTTTTTAATTGTAATTGTTCTAACCAATTGGGACTTGTACCTGGCAGTTTCTACCATACTTTTATGTAGTGTTCCTTACGATTCTTCTTTTTGATCGAGCTAAAAGGGATGATGATCGATGCAAGTCAAAGTAAGCACACCATAAGTTTCAAGTTGTTTATATTATTAGCATATTCTTCTCTGAGAGATGTGAACACTTGTAAATCATTTCTTTTNTGCCGACCTGACTCTCATTACCATGAACTTTATTTATTATTTTTTTTCTTTTGTTTCGTGTAAGAAGTGTTCGTTTTATCTTAAATCTGAAATTATGATGAAACGATATTGGTTGGCAGATATGGCAAATACTGGAAGTTATACTGCGAGAAGGTCCCGTACAAGGTTATACCTGGAATTTACTGAGAATTATGGTGTGGTGAAATCCAATGTTGTGTTGAAGCAATTGCTAGAAATATTATTATTAGCCTCAAAAAGGACAGTTGTTTCAGTTTTATGGTTTTTGTTCAAGGGGCTTGTGCTGTAATCCGATTTTTCCAGTAAACTACTTATGCGTGTAACTTTCTGCAGAAACTTTTGGAGTTGATGAATAATTTAAAGGTAGAAGTTTTTGTTTGTGCCTTTTGCCCTAGGTAATCAAGCAGAAGTGTCATTCTATCAACACAAGAAAACATTCATACATGACAGCAATTAACTGATAATATTAACACAGGCAGGTTTCAGTCTGCAATTAAGCTCAATGATAGTTCCTGGTTTTACCAGAAAACCTTATATTATCAGATAAACAACAAACAGTTCCTGGTTTTACAAGAAAACCTTTTTCTTTTCAGATAAACAACAAATAGTATGAAACTGAAACAGCAAATCGACCATTTGTGCAAGCAAAACTGGTGTTTGAGCATTAACTTCAGAGAATTTAAGCAACACCGCACCTGATGTTGATCGTTTGGGACTTGTGTGATTACTTCATAAGTTCAACAAAAATCACAGGAAAAATCATAAGTTCATAACCACAGAAGCAACACAGAAGCTAAAAGGAAAATCACATGAAACCATGATCTTTCTAAATAATCTGCACTTTACTTTTTGTTTCTGTTCTATCTTTTGACATTATTAACCCGAAAAGTTCAATTAACTCTTGCAAAAAGCAATGAAAATTATGGTTTTCATAATTATTGCACCCAATAATCACTTTTAAACACCAGAATGACAATGACAATAATAATAATAATTAGAAAAAAAACAGTACCCCATAGAGTGGCAGGAGATGATGCAGGGTAACAAATGAACTCCACAAGCAGAAAATATTAAAAGCGAGTACCCTTGTGTTGTTCTAAACAGAACCTGCATAATCCAACCAGGCCATGTGGAACTGCCATCAACTACATACTCCAGTAGTCGATCAGTTGGTGGTTCATTAATTATCAGAATGCATTCTCACTGTTCAGCCACATTACATTTCGAAGAAAATAACAACAACAACAACAACAACATAGCCTTTAGTCCCAAGCAAGTCGGGGTAGGCTAGAGATGAAAATAACAGTGGATGTAAAAATCTACCGCAAGCAACATAACTACTCAATTCAACATAACTACTCAATTCATGCTACAAGTGATTAACTACTCAATTCGAAGAAAATAACAGTGGATGTAAAAATCTACCGCAAGCAACATAACTACTCAATTCATGCTACACGTGATTAACTATTCCTTCTTTATTGAACATTCCACAAATGTAGTAGTATTACAGACAAGGAAAAATACAGATGAAATCTAATCAATTCAGGTACTCAATTCCTCCCCCCAACTCCACAATAAGGGCATTTACTCGAAGCAACCAACTTTAATCTACAAATACAATGTATTACTTCTAGATACATTCTCAACTACTCCTATTACTAGCATTATTATTACTGTTATTGTTATTGTTCTTGCCATCATTGCTGCTTCTAATGTTGTGGTGCTTTTTATTGTTGGCCCCAGGCCTCCTCACCTTCAGCTGCGAAAGCTCGAGCTGTGTCTTCATGAAGTTTTGCATCCTCTGCAGCTCCAAATCCTTTGCAAACTTCATTCTCTGCTTCTCCATCTCCACTAGCTGCTGAAGCTTGGCAGTCTCTGCCACCTCGTAAGCCTCCCCAAATTTCAAAATGGCCTGAGTTAGCTCCTCCATCGAATTTCCCCGCTTATTTCCTGCATCACTTTTCTTGTTCGTCATCTCGACATGTCTTGATGCACTCGCATTACTGTTCGGCATCGTTTGAAACCTTGGCCGTTTGTTGTTAGTCTCGGGAGGCAACCCATCGGAAAAATCTGCCGAATGGTCGGGCTCTGACTCATCATCCGAGTCGAAGGGTGGTTTTTTGTGGCCTGGGGTAGAGGATGATCTGAGCCCGACTGGAATAGCCATGGGGACCTTCTGCTGCATCGTGTTGTGATTACTGTCGTTGCTGGCGGCATCCATGGATGGGGGAGCGGAGCTGGAGTTCAGTTTGGCGGTGGGCCCGACCAGCTCGTGGAGCTTGTGGTAGAATCGCCACTTGCTGGGGCCGCCGCCGGCGGCGATCTTGGCCTTCTCGGCCTTGTACTTCTTCTTGACGGTGTCGATGCGGTTCTTGCACTGGACATCGGTTTTGGGGGGTTTTGTGTAGTCCTCGTGTGCGGCGACGATGTCGGCCACGTCCTTCCAGTGCTTCTGCTTGAGGTTGCCCCGGCTCAGCTCCAGGTACCGCTCGCCCCAGGCGTCGATCAGGACGGCGGTGGCTCCCTCGCTCCAGCAGTCCTCCCGGCCGCCGCCTCCGGCGGCGGCGGCGGAGGGTGTCGCCGTCTGGTGGGGCTGGATGGGTAGGGCCAGGGTTAGAGAATTTGTTGCCGGCGGCGGCGGTGTGGCGGGAGACGGGGCGGCGGCGGCGACGGTGACGGAGATCCGGCCGTTGGGGGACTGGATTTCATCGTCGTCCTCCATGGAAAGAGGGCCGAGCCCAGATTTGGGGCGATCAGATCTGGTGGGTTTCTACTTTGTAGAGAGAAAAAGGGATGAAAGAGAGTTTATTTTTTTTAGGTTTCGGTTGACCGGCGGTAAGGAGAAGAGTTATGGTAAAAATTGGTGATGGTTAAGCGGAGGTTGTATGATGACGATGATGGTGGTGGGGGCAGTGGGTCCCACCAAACGGCGCCGTCTTATGGTTGTTTTGACGGCAAAAACGGAGATGGAGGAGGGGCCGGCGACATCAAGGCGGGCGCCATGCCATTAATTCGCTACAGTATCATTTAGTATTATTTATTAGATTGTTGTATTTCTCACAGTGAAACGTCCAAATTACCCTCTCCGGTAACCGACCCAGCAACCCGGATTCAAATCGGATTTCATAATAAATTGAGGGGAAAAAAAAATCCCCTTTGTCTTCTTCAAATTGTGAATCATACAAAGAGTACTGTAATTTCTGGTGTCGTCCATGGCTTCCTTCTAAATTTGAGGACACAAAAAGGTAATCTTTAGCTATCTTTCAGTACGTTCGTGTTGATAATGTTTTTTTTTTCTTTTTGTTTATTGTTACTGCCCCTTTATTGGGATTTTCAGGATTTTTAGGTTCTCAAAATTTTCAACTTCCTACTTGAGATTTTTGGTTTTATCTTTTGCGTATCCATGATTCTCATGAATCGTGTAAAGGATCCTCAGTTTAGGTTTAGAAAAGACTCAATTTTTATTACGTTCGTCATATGGAAACTTAAATTAGTGTATTATTGAGAGCTACCATGGATTTCGTGGGCTTATATATCTGTGCTTCTATATGTACTAGTATTGATTTTTGTCGATTGAATTTAGTAAAATAAATTAATTAATTTATTAAACCTATCATTGCAGAAACTAGTAAAATAAATTAATTAATTTATTAAACCTATCATTGCATAAACAAAATAAAATGTAGAAAATATGAGCTCCTAATGTATTTTATGTATTTTTGGGTTCTCAAAATTTTCAAAATTTGGTTTGATCTTTTGGGTATCCATGATTCTCATGAATCGTCTAAAGGGCCCTCAGTTTTTGTTTAGAAAAGACTCAATTTTTATTCTGTTCCTCACATGGAAACTTAAGTTAGTGTATTATTGAGAGCTACCATGTATTCCATGGGCTTATATATCTGTGTTTTCTTTGTGTATGTGTTGCTATCTGCAAAAAATTCTATATCTTGTAGACTCTTAGTCGATTAGCTTCACGTCTCGACAGTAGTTATTTATTTCTTGCAATCATTCTCAGCTCATTGTTGTTGCTCCACTCTTGTGTACGTTCTGTTGACATCCACCGAGTCAATTCTCTTTGTCGTTACTTTTTAACTGTGTTATATTTTTCAGCAGTGTAGAAAAAAAAAATGTCTGCGTATGAAAATGTCGTGGGAGGGAAGCTGAAGCTTAAGGGTAAGGCTCTGGATGTGANTAGTACTTAATAGGGAGCTTTTAATTTGTACTTTCTCTCTGAACTTCAATCTACAAATACATTCTCAACTACTTATTTGCGCAATACGGCAGTATCATTTTCTCTATTATATTCTTGTTAAGTGAATCCTGTATGCTAGTTAAGTTCCATCCAGTGGGCTTGTTATTTGCAGTTTTTATGGAAGCAAATCAATGCAGACATATGATTTGGCATTGTCTGTCTATTGTTGAGATGTTGTTTATCTTAGGATGTGATTGGATATGGATTTGATTTGGTTTCGTTAGTTTTGAAAAATGTGGTATTGTTAGTTGTTAGTAGGATTTTGACTTTCTATTAAAATAATATTTAAAACAAAATAATTAAAGTTGATTTGATGTTAAGTAGGAGAGATGATGTGAAATGATGGTAAGTTTAAACTGTGCGCGAGTGAATGAATAGTGAATTGAAGTTGATGCGATTTGTAAGAATGATTGATTATATTATTTAATTATATTGATAATATTGAAAATAGTGAGGTTGGGTTAAAGTTGAGTTAAAAAAGTGATTGAGTTAA